CGCGTGAATTCCAAGTTAAATTAACAAAACAATATGAAACAAAAGATTGTCTTGCATTCATTCATCAACCACCACCAAGTTGTTATAATTTACTGAACGAACAAAACACCTTCAAGCTTTCCACGCGGACCCAAGCATCGCTACAAAACACAATTATCAGGTCGGAAATTGAAACGGCAAACTTTTTTCCTCATTAAAATCATCGCACAAGAAGCACACTTTAGCTGGCACTTTTGCGCTGTCAATTGAAAGTGGCCCTTTCTTTCCAATCCGCACCCTTGACTTGTGATCCCAACTATATAGCGTCCTTCGTTGTTGGCTGTTTTAACTGCTTGTTATATTAACGCTTCGTTTGACATAAGTCCAACATTTGGATAACGAATTAATATTTTGTGTGTCGCTTTGGCAGAAATCAACAAAGCATGAAATCCAACAATGCTCCAGGGGTCGATCGCATATCAGCAGAGATGCTTAAAGCTCACCCCATGCTATCCGCACAAATGTTGCATCAACTTTTCTGTAATATCTGGGACACCGCGACTTTTCCGGCCGACTGGATGCAGGGCATCTTAGTGAAGGTCCCAAAGAAGGGGGATCTGACTGTGTGCGACAATTGGCGAGGCATCATGTTACTGTGTATTGTTCTAAAAGTTCTGTGCAAAGTTATCCTGAATCGGATACAGTAGAAGATCGACGTGACTCTCCGACGGCAGCAGGCAGGATTCCGTGCCGGAAGATCTTGTGTGGACCATATTGTCATGCTCCGCATCATCCTAGAGCAGGTCAATGAATTCCAAGAGTCCCTTTATTTGGTATTCATTGACTACGAAAAAGCTTTCGACCGTCTCAATCACGAGAATCTGTGGGGTACCCTGAGACCCAAGGGAGTCCCGGATAAAATCGTCAACCTCATCGAAGCGCAGTATGAGGCTTTCACGTGCAGAGTTCTGCATAAGGGAGCCTTGTCCGACCCTATCCAGGTAGTCGCTGGTGTAAGACAAGGATGTAAACTATCACCGCTACTGTTTCTCATCGTAATCGACGAGATCATGGCAGGTGCAATTGACCGTGTACCGAACCGTGGGCTGCTTTGGCAGCCTATCACCAAGGAACATCTCAATGACTTTGATTTGGCTGATGATGTTGCTCTACTAGCACAACGGCGCTCTGATATGCAGAGTAAGCTCAATGACCTAGCCGAACGCTCCTCTGCGACGGGTCTCACCATCAACGTCAACAAGACCAAATCGTTGGATGTCAACACGGGCAACCCTTCCAACTTTACGGTAGCGGGGCAAGCAGTGGAGAAGGTCGTAAGTTTCCAATATCTTGGCAGCCAAATAGCGTCGGACGGCGGGACCAAGAGCGACATAGGTGCACGAATCAAGAATGCTAGGGCTGCCTATGCGAGTTTACGAAACGTATGGAGATCCAACCAGATAATTCAAAGCATCAAAATCAGAATTCTCAACTCGAACGTGAAATCTGTGTTGTTATACGCCAGCGAGACGTGGTGTGTATCAGCGGAGAACACTCAAAAGCTGCAGGTCTTCATCAACCGATGTCTGCGGTATATAATTCGTGCCTGGTGGCCTCACAACTGGATCTCGAATGCCGAGCTCCATCGTCGATGTCATCAGAAGCCGATAGCAACAGAAACTCGAGAGCGAAAGTGGAGGTGGGTCGGCCACACACTTCGACGGGGCGGAAACGAAATCTGCAAGCAAGCGCTGGATTGGAATCCGGCAGGACATCGCAGCAGAGGCAGACCCAAGGGCTAATGGCGGCGGAGCCTCAATAAGGAAATTAAGGGGAAGCTCACCGGCCCAAAAATAAAAAAATATTTTCGGTACGTTTTTATTTTTCTAAAAATATTGGGAAAAATTATCAAAAATCCAAGAAAATCAATTTCTTCCTTAGATTTTTTCTATCCCATAATGAAAAAAAAATTGGACTCTCAGAAAAACCGAAAAGTTGATGTTTTGTGGTTTTTTGAGTCCATCTTTATGCCATAATGACTTATAAAACATGTTTTTGCACGTGAATTTTCTTTAAAAAATTAGAAAAAATGTGATTTTTTTAGATTTTTGATACTTTTTTTTTCAATATTTTTAGAAAAATCAAAACGTAATTATTTTTTTCGAAGCGGTGAACTTCCCCTTAAGCAAGTCGATAGGAATCTGACCTGGGCCCAGGTCAAGGCAAAAGTGAGCAGCCGCCCAGGATGGAAGTCTTTCACGTTGGCCCTTTGCACCGCTGGTGGTGCACAGGACCCGTAAGTAAGTAAGTAATAAACATCTCTGGTCACGTCTTCCTTCGGCAGGGAAGTAAAGCCGTTGGTTCCGACCCATGTGTGTTGAATGTGTGCGATATCCTACGCAGGTGTGGAAGTTGCCTTCTTACACATTCGATTGCCGTCAATGGATGGCAATCGATGTCCGTCGGTGATTGGCACTAGATTACGGAACATAGACCGACGTTAAATAAAGGAAAGAAGGAGATTGATATTCACAGAAGTTCAGACTTTTTTTTAGGGATTAGTTATGTTTGTTTAGTTTTGTTTTTCTCTTGGTGGAAACAAGTTTTAAAGAGTGGTAATGCAATGAGAGCCATTTCTACCACCACTCATCACTTTAATGTGTACACAGCAAACAAATATAATGTGAATCAATCAATGATATTCATGGTGATGTATTGAACATCAATAACTGTGAAGCAACCATACATGTGCTATTCTTTCATTGCGGCCAATGTCGCAAACGTAAACAATGATTTATTTTTTTCCGCGAATTTCTCGAGAGTGAAAACTCACTCAAGTAAACCACCAAGATGATTGTGTGAAGCGCGAGTCCTCCTATGCGATAGAATTGGTGGATTACATGGACGGCTTCCGGCCGAATACCGTTTAACCGAATGCCATTTGGCTGAATGCCGTTTGGCCGAATGGGTCGTTTGGCAGAATTTTTGAAAATATATTTCCAAATTTTGAACACTACTAGATTTCTAAATGACAGCTCTGTGGACTTTATTTTTTCTTTCTCTAATTCTGGTTTTTGACATTATAAATTTGGAATTTTTTGTTAAATTGAAAATTGTATAAATTTGAAATTTTATACTGTCGATCGATTCATTATTCTATTAAAGATAAGTTTTTCATACTGTAATTGGTATTTTTTAGCCACCCTTTTTAACATGAGCAGTTCTTTGGAGTTTTGTTGTTCAAGGTATTTTTTGCACAGTTAACGCAGCTCGTCATAAAATTAATACAAATCAACAGACAAAAATTGGAGAATTTTCCTTCTTTCAAACATGAGCAGTTCCTTGGAGTTTTGTTGTTCGGCATTCGGCCAAATGACCCATTCAGCTAAATGGGCCAAACGGCAGTCGGCCAAATTACCCGGAACCACATGGACAGGCTTTGAACTATGAGAAATTTACGAATGAAACCGTTGTCGTTTTAGACATTGGTCCTTATGAACGCTCAGTGTCAATATCACGGTAGTTTTTATTGTGACAGATCGATGTTGAACTATTCCAGTTTTACCACTGAGGCAACACAAAAAAGGGTTTAAATTTTAGTCAACTGTTTTGCATGAAGATTCACATATGTTATGTGCTACAACCTACAAGTCTTGAATAAAAGACGACCATTCGTTACATCACAGGTAGCCATTTGGGATTTAACGCTGTCTCTTATGCCGTTTTAGTTTGATTAACCAGGTTCGAATCTAGGTTAGTTTCTTCAAAATATCACTCTCGCGGTGAACTGGGTGAACTGAAATGTTGTGTACATGTGTCTGTGTGACTTGAAATTAAAAAATCAAAAAGGCAATGACAGCTAGCTGCCAAGCGATTGCTCAACAGCAGTTTTCAGCTGATTGTGACCGCTGCTATTTTATATTTTCCAAAATTTATTTGAACGCACGCAAATTACGAACTAATTTATGACCATGAAGGAGACGTAATTCAACAACCTTTAAAAATTGGTAAGACTTGCGGTGATTCGGGATATTCATAGAACCATTTTCTGGCCACCCAGTAACATAATCGGTCTGAGGATTGCATGTTATAGCTATGCTCAAGATTCTATGCAATTAATAAAAAAAAAAAAAATCGTGGACGACATTCAGTAATTGACAGTTTTCCCGGCGATTCTGAATATCTGGGGATCCTTTTTTCCGACCACCCAGTAACAGAATCGGTATGAGGATTGCATATGTTCGTGACAACGAAAATGCATCGACGCGCCATCTGTTGCTCATCGGTCACATCGTAAAAACTACCTTTGATCGACGGCTATAAACGCCCAAAAGGGAAATTTAGATTGGTAGCATGGCGTTGTACCGTCTTCCGCCGCGCCCTGTTATAAAAGTCGAAGAGTGACAGGAGTCATCCTCTTTCACTACAGCGACGTCATCAAGCATCATCATAATTGAAGTGGAACCAAAACAAACAGAAGAAAGTAGTGAATTGAATTTAAACCCGTAGTTTATTGCCTTTTGTAATTAAGTAAAATATAGTAATTTTAAATAGAATATAGACAAAGTAAAGTGCATTTCAAGTCCAGTGATCGCGTGTGAACACTTACCTTTCGAAGGATTGGTCCGCCATCCGAAAGTACCTACAAAAGAAAGAAAAAAAGTGAGTGAAAACTTTACCTGTCCGTGCGCCGACCTGGAAGTCATCGGTTGAGACAATTTTTCTGCTGCTGCTCGCTGTGCTCCCGACATTTGGTCCTTCGAGCCGGATAGCGTCGAATCTCCGCTAGTCCGATAGTCCAGCGCCTAGTGAGCCGCCATCGCACATTCGCTATTGTGCCCGCTGAAGAATCGCTTCTTATCGCCATTGTCCCAGCTGAACAATCTGCTACGGAACGCCATCTTCCTGCTTGGTTGCTGCTGTTATCAAATACAAGGCAAATTAATTGCCTCAACAAGGTAATTAGGTTTCCAACTACTTTTACTTTCTGTTTGTGTGCTACGCTGGTCCATTGTCCACAGATTTCGCTGCAATGTCGACCGAGCGCCGTATCAAGACGCTAAAGATGCGGCTGAAGAGTATTATGACGTCGCTGAACCTCATTAAGACCTTCGTAGACGATTACGATGAGGAGACGCAGGCCGACGAAGTCCCTGTCCGTCTTGAGAGCCTGATCAAGTTGTGGTCAGACTATAATACTTTCCAAAGCGAGCTGGAGACGCTCGATGAAGCTGCCATCGAGGCCCATCTGAAGGAGCGGGCTTCGCTTGAGTCCGCTTATTATCACGTCAAGGGCTTTCTGTTGGCCCGAAATAAAACGCCAATTACACCAACTCGCCCGTTTCCTAATCATTCAGAAACGCAATTCCTTCCGTCGGCATCGCAGGTGCGTTTGCCCGACGTTAAACTCCCTGTCTTCGATGGCAAATTGGAAAACTGGCTTAACTTTCACGATTTGTATGTGTCGCTGGTCCACTCAGCTGTTGGTCTCTCGAATATCCAGAAGTTTTATTACCTCCGATCATCATTATCGAACACAGCTCTTCAACTCATCCAAACGATCCCAATATGTGCGAACAATTACCCGGTGGCATGGAACCTTCTGCTGGAACACTTCCAAAACCCTGCTCGGCTGAAGCAGGCGTACGTAGACACTCTCTTCGATTTCGCTTCTATCAAAAGAGAAACGGCAACGGAACTCCACAGTCTGGTGGAGAAATTCGAGGCAAACGTCAAAGTTTTGCAGCAATTACGTGAACGCACGGAATATTGGGATATTTTGCTCATCCGTATGCTCAGCACTCAACTGGATCCGACGACAAGGCGAGATTGGGAGGAGTACTCTTCGACCAAACCAGCGATCACTTTCAAAGACCTGACATCTTTCATCCAGCGACGAGTTACGGTGCTGCAATCCATCCAGGCCAAGCCCATCGAAGCTCAATCGTCGACCGTTCAGAAGAAGCCAGTTCAGCGATCCGTCTCGAGCCACGGAGCCAACCAGGTCAATCTTCGGAAGTGTGTCGTCTGCTCAGACCATCACCCTTTGTACATGTGTGGATTTTTTCGCAGCTTTCAATAGAAGAAAAGGAGAAAGAGATATGCCGTCATCAACTCTGCCGAAATTGTCTTCGAAAGGGTCACCTATCAAGGGATTGTTCGTCGTCTACCAACTGCCGAAAGTGTCGTGGACGTCATCACACGCAGCTATGCTCGAACGATTCCTCTTTTTCGTCGAACTCGAAGCCAGTCCAGCATCCGAAACCTGCTACACCTACTCCAGCTACCATTCCTCCGACCATGTCCTCATCTGTTACGGTCGTCGAATCCATCAATTACGCTTCCGCTGGCCATAAGAAGAAGACAGTTCTCCTTGCCACTGCTATGATCATCTTAATCGATGACAACGGGGTCGAGTACGTTGCCCGCGCACTTCTGGACTCAGGAAGTGAATGCTGCTTCATCACGGAAAGGTTTTCGCAGCGCATCAAGCCTCAGAGGAAGAAAATCTATCTTCCAATCTCCGGAATTGGTCAAGCGTCCACTCAAGCTAGGCTTAAGTTTTCATCCACAATCCGCTCTCGAGTTGGCACGTACTCCACCAGCGTCGAATTTCTCGTTCTACCCAAGGTGACCATCGATCTACCAGCCACTTCCGTTGATACTTCAACTTGGGACATGCCACCCAGCATTCAACTCGCAGATCCGTCGTTTGACAGCACCAATCCCATCGATGTCATAATTGGAGCCGAAATTTTCTTTGACTTGTTCAAGGTTCCTGGACGCATTCCTCTCGGCGACAATCTTCCGGTATTGGTCAATTCCGTCTTTGGTTGGGTAGTAGCTGGGAAATCTACAATGAGTCCGTCTACCGCTCTCGTCGTTGCAAACGTCGCAGATATCCATCAGCTCATGGAAAAGTTCTGGACAATCGAGGAAGACAGCACATCGACAGCGTACTCCGTCGAAGAAGCTGCCTGCGAGGAACATTTTTCTCGTACTGTAGCTCGTACTCCAGAAGGACGCTACGTAGTCCGCTTACCGTTCAAGGAAGAGGTCATAAATCAAGTTAGCGACAACCGTCGTACCGCTGTTCGTCGATTCCACCTGCTTCAAGGTCGTCTAATCCGCAACCCCGACCTTCACCAGCAGTACAAGGCTTTCATCGACGAGTATCTCGACCTCGGACACATGAAGCGCATTCATGATTACGAAGACCCAGAGGTACAGCACTATTACCTCCCACATCACGCTGTGATACGAGAGGAAAGCACGACGACGAAGTTACGGGTCGTCTTTGATGCCTCGTGTAAAACCCCGAACGGACCTTCGCTCAACGACGCTCTGATGGTTGGACCAACGGTGCAAGAGGACATCCGATCGATCACGATGCGCTCCCGAAAGCATCAAGTCATGGTAGTTGCTGATGCCAAGATGATGTACCGTCAAGTTCTCGTCGACCCTCGTGACTGCCGAGTCCAACTCATCGTCTGGAAACCATCACCGGACCATCCGATGGAGACATATCAACTGAATACCGTAACGTACGGTACTGCCAGCGCTCCTTTCCTCGCCACTCGGGTACTGATCCAACTTGCCGACGACAAAGGTCAATGTTTTCCCCTTGCAGCCAAAGCTCTGAAGAAAGACGTCTACGTTTACGATCTCTTTTCCGGCGGAAGAAACGCAGCAGAAGTAATTGAACTCCGGAACCAGCTAGATGCACTCCTAGCAAAAGGCGGATTTCAACTTCGCAAGTGGGCTTCAAACGATGAGGCAGTACTCAAGGGAATTCCACCTGAAAATCGCGCACTCAAGACTTCCGTAGACCTCGATCGAGATCAGGTCATCAAAACTCTCGGGCTACATTGGGAACCAGCCTCAGATTGCCTGCGATACAAAATCGACCTACCATCTGATACAGCAGACCAACCTGTTACTAAACGAATCGCTCTTTCGCTCATCGCCCGTCTCTACGACCCGCTTGGCTTAGTGGGACCTGTCGTAACTGCTGCCAAGGTTTTCATGCAGAACTTGTGGAAACTGAAAAACGACAGTGGATCTTCGTGGAGTTGGGACAAGGAACTACCGATGGAGTACCAGATCCATTGGACAAATTACCTGTCTAAATTGCCGCGACTCAACGAACTTCGCATCGAACGCTGTATTCTGCAACCCGAACCTGCAACGATCCAGATCCACATCTTCGCTGATGCCTCGCAGCTTGCCTATGGAGCCTGTGCATACGTCAGATCCACTAATGCATCTGGAATAGTTAAGGTTGCCCTCCTCACTGCAAAATCAAGAGTAGCACCTCTAAAAAGGCAATCGATTCCTCGACTCGAGCTCAGTGGAGCACTACTGGCAGCGCAACTCTACGAAAAGGTTCAGTCATCGCTCCGTCTCGACACGAAATGCTACTTCTGGCTCGATAGCACCGTCGTACTCTGCTGGCTCAACGCATCTCCTTCTACTTGGAACACGTTCGTTGCCAACCGAACATCTAAGATCCAGCTCACCACCCAGAATAGCTCGTGGAATCATGTCGCTGGTCTAGAAAATCCTGCGGACTGCATTTCACGTGGGATAACTGCAGACACTATAATTGATTTTGACATCTGGTGGCAGGGACCTGAATGGCTTCGGCAACCTCAAGATTGCTGGCCAGTAGCTGGAAGTACACAAGATCAACCTTCTGAGGCGTTGGAAGAAGCACGTCGAATCTCCTTAGCAGTATCGTCGTCACCAAACGAACCGTCATTCGTCGACCTGCTCGTCGAAAAATTCTCCGAATACCATTACCTTTTGCGTGTGGTCGCTTACTGCCGTCGTTTTCTTCAAAGCTGTCGAAAACAATCCAGTGGACTGCCAAATTCTACTCTGCTGAAAGTAGAAGAGATGTTAGAAGCGGAGAGAATACTCATCAGATTGGTTCAACAACAAGCCTATAGCGAAGAGTGGAAGCAGCTTCAACAGTCGGAACCAGTATCGATGAAATCTCGCCTCAAGTGGTTCCACCCGTTCATCTCGTCAGAGAAGGTAATTCGCATCGGTGGCAGATTGGAAAAGGCAGAACAACCATACGATAGCAAGCATCAAATTCTCCTGCCAGCATCGCACAAACTTTCGCTGCTTTTGGTTCGCAGCTATCACGAACGGCATCTCCACGCAGCTCCACAATTGCTCCTCAATCTACTTCGGCAACGGTACTGGATCATAGGGGCCAGGAACATGGCCAAGCGTGTGGTTCACACCTGTGTTACTTGCTTCCGAGCACGCCCTCGAATGCTAGAGCAATTTATGGCCGAGCTTCCTGCGTCAAGAACTACTGCAAGTCGACCCTTCACCATTACAGGAGTAGACTATTGGGGACCAATTTCACTCAAGCCTATACATCGTCGTGCTGCACCCGGGAAAGCTTACGTTGCCGTGTTTATTTGCTTCTCCACGAAAGCAGTACATCTGGAACTTGTAGCAGATCTCAGCACACCGAAATTTTTACAAGCGCTTCGTCGATTCGTGTCTCGCCGTGGCCTTTGCTCCGATCTACACAGCGATAATGGTCGAAACTTCGTTGGAGCGAATAATGAACTTCGGGATCTCGTTCGCAACAAGGAGCATCGCAATGCTATCGCACAAGAATGCAACCTGCAAGGAATTCGTTGGCACTTCAACCCTCCTAGAGCATCCCACTTCGGCGGGCTGTGGGAGGCCGCAATAAAGTCTGCTCAAAAGCATTTCGTGCGGGTCCTCGGAAAGCACACTCTTGCCTACGACGACATGACTACGCTACTGTGCCAAATCGAATCCTGTCTGAACTCTCGACCGATTGTTCCACTGAGCGATGATCCTAGCGACTTTGAGCCACTCACTCCGGGACACTTTTTAACGGGATCCGCCCTCAAGGCTGTTCCAGACGTCAATTACATTGATATCCCAACGAATCGACTTCGACAGTGGCACCTGGTCCAAAAACTGTTCCAGGAATTGTGGAAAAGATGGCACTTGGAGTACCTTTCCACACTGCAGCCACGTACAAAATGGTGCAATCCACCTATTCAGCTGCAGCAAAACCAACTTGTTGTTCTTCGCGACGGAAACACTGCACCAATGCACTGGCAGACCGCTAGAATCGACCAGGTTCATCCCGGTTCAGATGGAGTCATCAGGGTAGTGACGGTCCAAACACCAACCGGCCGTTACGTTCGCCCGGTATCAAAAATTTGCCTTTTACCAGTGCAATCATCGTCCGACCAAAACCAACCACCACAGATGTAAACATCAACACTGCAGCCATCCAGCTACTTGCATTCCAAAATTCACCTTCAACGATAGTATTCCGAAGTTCACGACTATCCGTTGACAACAGGAGCATCTGTAATTAAAAATCAATGCCTTTCATTAGAAAGGACAAAGTAAGCACCTGTCCAATCTAATAATTTATATCAAACCCCGCTACCGGGTCTTATGTTTGCAGACCATTTTTCTATCGTCGACTTTCGTGTATAAACAAATCGTCCGTCGAAGCTTCATCGATCGTATAGCAGTGACAGTCCCGATGCGAGAAAGAGACCGGTAGCAGAGCAGCTGATCATCGAGCATACACGTCAGAAACGAAGTTCCTGAAGGGGCCAGTATGTTCGTGACAACGAAAATGCATCGACGCGCCATCTGTTGCTCATCGGTCACATCGTAAAAACTCCCTTTGATCGACGGCTATAAACGCCCAAAAGGGAAATTTAGATTGGTAGCATGGCGTTGTACCGTCTTCCGCCGCGCCCTGTTATAAAAGTCGAAGAGTGACAGGAGTCATCCTCTTTCACTACAGCGACGTCATCAAGCATCATCATAATTGAAGTGGAACCAAAACAAACAGAAGAAAGTAGTGAATTGAATTTAAACCCGTAGTTTATTGCCTTTTGTAATTAAGTAAAATATAGTAATTTTAAATAGAATATAGACAAAGTAAAGTGCATTTCAAGTCCAGTGATCGCGTGTGAACACTTACCTTTCGAAGGATTGGTCCGCCATCCGAAAGTACCTACAAAAGAAAGAAAAAAAGTGAGTGAAAACTTTACCTGTCCGTGCGCCGACCTGGAAGTCATCGGTTGAGACAATTTTTCTGCTGCTGCTCGCTGTGCTCCCGACAGCATATTTCATCTAGGCTCAATATTCTATACAAATTACAAAAAAAAACATTAATCTCTAGGCTGTCTTTCAAGAATTGACCATACACGGTTTTCCGGGAATCTTCAGACCATAAGCCTCTAACTATTTTTCTCGGTCCAACTGGCCAACTACAAGTCCAATCGATTCCCTATCTGTTTCGCTTAAATATTTTTCAATATTTTCAGACTGGCTGATTCTTTGTTGTTTACCTTTTTAACATTTGATGAGCCTCGAAAAACATTCGGGTTCGAACCTAGTCGTTCTTCAGGTTGCTTGGTGGCGAACCTAGGTTGGTAACTGGCATTCAAACTATCAGTTTGACAGCTCTTAGGTTGCAACCCGGGTGAGGGTTCGCTTCAAACTAAAACGGCATTAGATAGAAGCAATGTAACCTCCATGCCCGATACGAACCAGACTGAAAGTCTCCTTAATAAAGATATAAAAAAAAAACAAATGCGACCTCCACCGATCGAGAACTGTCCTTACAACTGGTGGGGATAAGAAGTCAGCTGGGCACATGCCTACTTAAGAGAGAGATGAAGACCCTTCATAAATAAGTGTCACGAGGGGTGTGAAATCTCGGCAGTAGAGAGGGTAAGCCATAAGATTCGTTTGGAAAACGTTATTAATCAATGTTAAATTTCTTTTCAAGTGAACAGACTTGGGATTTAAACTATAACCTTCTGATCATTGAGCAGACACTTGACGCACTGTACCACCCTGGCAGTAAACCTGGAGAATAGAAGTACTAAAAAGGTGAGCCCCTTTGATTCATCCACCTTCGTTTATAGTAATAGTGTGATTGAATTGTACGAGAAAATAATGTGATTTTGTCACGCTCTATGAGTTTCTTGCATATCGAAGAAAGAGTCGCCTTTTCACCCAGCCACAACACTACACTGGCGTAAATTCAGCTACCCTGCCACCCCTAGTTAGAAGCAAAAGCAGTAAAGTCACCAACGTGTACCACATCCTAAACAAGCAAGGGCAAAAAATAAATTGAATTTTCCATTCATCCTTTTGAGGATCGCGCGCGACCTAGCCTTTCTTCCTCGAAGAGACGATTCTACCGACGACCAAACATCAAAGCCTCTGCTCGTTCCAATTGTCGCTCAGGTAAAAAGTCACATAACGGTTGGTGCGTCATTGCCAGGGATCTCTCCGGGAATCAAGGCGTACGCGGAGGAGTTACTAAATTGGATTGGTTGTATTTTCTCCTCCAGCTGATTTTCACTCAAAGGCGAAAGAAGGTCTAATTTTTCCAAGCGAAGATGCGCCTGAATGGAACACTGCTCCATTGTTGACCCGATATTAGGGTGATTCATGTTGTAGAAAAGTATTTGCAATCTTATAGGCCACCCTCCAGTTTGATTCATGATCCCAAAATATGAGTCTGTGCAAAAAATTGGTAAAGGTCGCGCAAATGGTTTGAAGTTTATGTGGAGATTATGGCGAATTACTATGGGATTTTTTGTACTTCACTTATATCATCGCTCAGTTTGGGTCCAGTTTGATGTGATGAAATTGGTGTCTTGTATAATTGCCAAACTAACCGTTATAACAACAGGCAATGGTCAACAAGATTAGCAACCACATATTTATTTTAAGCATTTGGCAACTAGAACAAAAGTTATAGCGATATAAGTGGAATTTAGAATGCTTCCATAGTGATTCCCATACAAATTTCAAACCATTTTCGCGACTTCTAATCCATTATTAATCTTTACCCTTTTTTGCACAAACTCATATTTTGGGGCTGTGAATCAAACTGTAGGGTGGCACAAAAGATTTCTAATTCTTGTTTTTGTTTTCAAAATGAAGCACCCTACTCGATACCCATGGAAATATCAACGTAACCGTATCTATTTATTGCGTTGTATCAATGAAGATGAAACTATGCCTCGCAGTCCCGACGAAGAATGGGACATTGAGAATCAACAGCATTGGAGCAAAGACGATGCCGATGGCGGCGTCGTCCGCAAAGTCGACAGAAGTTAATACCGCGTCAATCTTGCTTAAATTAATGGTTGCTTGCATTTCAAAGGAAAGATCCATTCGTGTCCCTAACAAAGAGGGCGCGCTACCAATTTTACAGCGAACGCAAACACAGCAGTGGAAGTGAAATGGAAAATTGCTGGAAAAGCCACTCCAGCACGGGGAAGGAAACCCGAAACAGAACGACCGCTCCTACCCAGCAGTGACAACAGGAGTGGTGGTGGTCGTTAAGGTGAACACAATCCCTTTTCTGCGCCCTACAACAACCTACCCAGGATGCCTGTTGTGAGGGATCAATGAAGGCTTGCGTTTTTACTTGAGCTGATTAAGTGAAGTGATTAGGAAAATGAAATGCCTTAATCAAAGAATGGCAAAAAGGCTTTTGTTATTGGAAATTTATACACGGCTGAGTTGAATAGGATTCAGCTCGGGATGGGTTGCACATATAAACCAAGCGCAGGCTCTGTCCAATATTATGGTAATCATTGAACAGTAGACTGCTCTGGTGGAAGTATAATTGGCCCATGTTTAATGAATGTTACTCATCAACATGGGATAGTTACAGCAAAGAAAGGAACAGTAACTTCATGCACACGCTGAACCAGAAAGTGTTTACTCTGACGATTGAAAAATCAACATTGGTTTTTTTCTTCCTCTAATTATTTTATTTTTAGCGTGTTCGTTTATGCCAGTTTAATCTGGAATAAAATGGTATAATTTCTGACTACGTTTTGAAATTACCGGTAGCTTTATATTTCGTCCAGCTTAAGGTGAAAGTTAATGCTTTTCCGTTGATACTGAATCCACACCCGTTCAAACCACACCCAAATTAGAAATGCACCAATACAAACAAGCATTGCAAATTAGAAAAATGGGAAGTATTGAAATTTTGAACATATTCGTAAACACAATATTATTTATTAATTATAATAATTCTACTACTGAAATGACAACTTCAATTCCAAAATTCCAAGTTCAGGATAGTGTTACTAATGCTCAGGAAAGTCTTGCCAGGGAAGGCCTGCCGAACTTCAGCTAAGTCCTGATTAAGTTCATAGAAGCCCTGCCGAAGTTCAGGAAAGTCCTTCCGAAGTTCAGGGAAGTTCTGCGGAAATTCAGAGAAATTCAGGTGAAGTTCAGAGGACAGCGGCGCCGGTGGTGTGGTGGTAAGCGTGATTGCCTCTAACCCCAGCAGGCCTGGGTTCAATCCCAGTCGGCGCCGCCGGGATGTTCTGAGGCATAACATCTCTGATCACGCCTTCCTTCGGAAGGGAAGTAAAGCCGTTGGTCCCCGGTTCACGAGGTTCATGGGTCGATAGGTAGGGTTCAGGTGTGGGAGCTGCCTCCCTGGCGTCGGTAGCATTGGTGCTCAGCACGGAAAACAAGATCGACGGAAAACAAATCATGGAAAAAAAAAAGTTCAGGGAAGTTCTGCTGATGATCAGGGAACTTTTTCCGAACTATAGGGAAGTCCTACCAATGTTCAGAGAACTCCTGCCGAAGTTCAGAGAAGTTCAACCGAAGTTCAGGGAAGTCCTGCTAAAGTTCAGGAAAGTCCTGCCGAAGTTCAGAGAAATTCTGTCGAAGTTCAGGGAAGTTCTGCCGAAGTTCAGGAAAGGGCTGCTGAAGTTCAGGGAAGTCCTTTCATTTCAATTCTCGGAAATCAGGGAAGTCCTGATGAAGTTCAGGGAACTCATGCCGAAGTTCAGGGAAGGCCTGTCAAAGTTCAGGAAACTCCTGCTGAAGTTCAGAGAAGTTCTGCCGAAGTTCAGGAAAGTTCTGCCGAAGTTCAGGGAAGTTATGCCAAAGTTCGTGGAATTATCTAATTATCGTTAAAAATACCAAGATATATCAGAATACCTTCATCAAAAAGGCTGAAATTTTTACAAAATACACTCAAATACTTGTAATACAACTTAAAAAATTTGAAGATCATTGAAGGTTTAAAAAATATTTTATTGATCAATGGCAAAGGTGGATGATTTCTACAATGTTCAATAATCAATTTATCTAATTATCTTTAAAAATACCAAGATATAACAGTGGCATAAGTAATAATAAGGTCTAGCGTTGTCTCTATTTTGAGAATTATCTGGAAAGATTATGATTTAAAT